CATTCAAATAATTTTAAAAACTGAAATAAAATTAGATTTTTGATATGATATGCACCAGGTAACAACCACAAATAATAAATGTTTTATAGCAAATGGTACAAAATTAAATTTTCAAAATATTAGAATGCATAAAATAAACATTTAATAAATGAAATTTTTACAAGCAAATAAACAATAAGAATCACAGGAATGCAAAATTGATATCATTAAAATTTATAAAATTATCCATCATAATTTAAATGATAATATGCTAATATCACAATTATTAAACTTTAATTTTCTGTAACAATTAGCTCAAGTATTATTTGTTAGCAAAAAATACTCATTAATAATAATAGTACAAAAAAAAAAAGAATAACTAATTTTTTAATTATTATTTTTTTTTTTTTGAAATGATATTATTGTAAATTATGATAAAATTAAAATACGGTATAAGCGATTTTTAAATTTTGTTGAAATTATGAAAAATTGAAAACACAAAAAAAAAAAAAGCAAAGAGATATAAAATATTTCATAAATAGCATATTATTCTTAATTATTGTATCAAATTTAAGAAAAAAAAAAAAAAAAAAAAAAATACGATTTTATTTTTAATTACTAATATAATATCTTTAATGAAATTTTGAAAATGAGACTTTAATTTAGAAACTAAAATTAAGAAAATTGTTCAGCATAATAATAATAATAATAAAAATAATAATAATAATAATAATAATAATAATAATAATAATAATAATAATAATAATAATAATAATAATAATAACTCAATAATGTTCACAAAATTAGTATGAAATGAAAATTTATATTTTGATAAATTTGATTAATTATTGAGAATTATTTAATGAATTGATAAATTGTAAAATTTTTTTGCAATTTTAAAAAACAATTACTACTAAAAAAAAAAAAAATTTAAAAAATTAAAAAAAAAATTACTATTTTAAAAAATTTTTGCAATTTAAAAAAAAAAAAATTAAAAAATAATTTTTGCAATTTTAAAAAAAAAATTATTTTATAAATAAAATATGCAATAAAAAATAAATGAATAAATCCTTCACATCAAATTGTTCCTTTCTTTTCCAAATTTTATTTTAAAAATTTTGATTTGACGAAATATTTTGCAGCTGGTAGCGATTCATTTGCTGAAATAATTTTATGTAAAATTATCTAAAAATAATTTTATGATTAAATTTTTTTTTTTTGGTTAATATATTAAAATTAATTAATCAAATAATAACTTAAGAGAGAAAAAAAAAGAAAAAAAACAAAATAGTAAAAATTAGGAAAAAAAAATGTGGAATTTTACTTAAAATATATTTTTTTTATTGAAATATAGTTTATTAATTTAAATTTAAATTAATTTTTAAAAAAAAAAAATATAATTAAGACATACTGGATTTTATTTTTCGTTTTTTTGTCACATTTAAACCAAGTAATTCACGTACTGTCAACGAACGATTGCAAGAATTTTTCTTTAAAATAATTGTACTTGGTGTTGTCACAGTTGTCACATCTAAATAAGATTATTATGAATTGATAATGAATGTGTCATATCAGCTTGAGAGTATTTTAATGCTGTAATATTAATTTTATAAATAAAACATAATAATTAAATTTTTTTTTTTAATTTAAAAAAAAAAAAGTTTATTAAATTAATATATAGCTAAAAAAAAAAAAAAGATATATAAAAAAAATAAAAATTAATATTAATTTAATATTTGATTTATTACTATTTAATAAAGTTAATAATTTAAAAAAAAAAAAAGTTGCTGTAATATTAATTTTATAAATAAAACATATTTACAACTAATTTTTTTTTTAATTTAAAAAAAAAAAGTTTATTAAAATTAATATATAGCTAAAAAAAAAAAAATTGATATATATTAAAATATTAATTTAATATTTGTTATTTATTACTATTTAATAAAGTTAATAATTTAAAAAAAAAAAAAAAAAGTTAAATGAGATAAAATTTTACTATAAATTGATTAATAAATGTGCCATATCAGCTTGAGAATATTTTAATGCTGTAATATTAATTGCATAAATAAAATATAATAATTAATTTTTTTTAACTTGAAAAAAAATTCATTGAAATTAATGTATATTTAAAAAAAAAAAAATAATACATTAATTATATAAATAAAGCATATTTACAAACAATTAATTTTTTTTTTAATTTGAAAATAATTTATTAAAATTAAATATATTTATAAAAAATTAATATATTATTTGTATACTGCAATATCATTTGCATAAATAAAACATATTTACAACAATTAACTTTCCAATTTAATTTAGAAATAATTTGTTAAAATTATTATATATTTAAAAAAAAAAAAATTATATATTACAATATTAAAATTTAGCATTAATTTAATATTTGTTCTTTATTAGTATTTAATAAAATTAACGATTTAATTTTTTTTTTTTAATTTAAAACTAATTTATTAAATTAATATATATTACAATATTAAAATTTAACATTAATTTAATAATTACTGTTTATTAGTATTTAATAAAGTTAACGATTTAATTTTTTTTTTTTTAATTTAAAATTAATTTATTAAAATTTAACATTAATTTAATATTTCCTGTTTATTACTATTTGATAAAGTTAACAATTTAAAAAAAAAAAATTAAAAAAGTTAAAATTTTGAAAATTTGAAAGTATAATTTATACCTGTAGAATTAGAAATACATGGTGTAATATTAACATTATCAAAATGAACCATTCCTGATTTGCTTCTTTTTAACAACATTTCATTTCCTTTTCCATTATCAAATATATTTTTTAAAATATGATTTGTTGATATGATATCATTATCATTATCATTATCGTTATCAGTTGATAATGATTTTATTGATTGATCATTATTTGTTGCAGATGTAGTTGTTGTAGTAACTGAGATTGAAATTGTTTCTGCTTCATTTAATGATGGAAAATGTATTGGTATTATTGTTTGTTGTGTTATATCAATTGTTGGTGAAATAATAGGTAATAATTTTGAATAATACATTGATGATTCATTTAATGATCTAAAAATAATAATAATAATAAATAAAAATAATATTAAAATTATTTTTTTTTTTGTATAAAAATGAAAAAAGAAAAACTTTTTTTTTTTTCATTACAATTAAAGAAGCTAAATGAGAAAGAATGAAAGAAGAAAATAATATTTAAAATTTAAATTAATTTAAAATTTAAAAATTAAAATAAACTAACATATTGCGTAATTTTTTGAGCAATTCATCACCTTTCATTATCATTACTTCTCGTTCTTTCTTTGATAATTCGGTATGTTTGTAATTTAAATGTGAAATTAATCTGTAATATATTATTTAAAAAAAAAAAGGAAATGTAATGATTAAAATGATAACAAAATAATGGAATGATGATAAAATCGATGATAATTATATCAAAAATTTAAGTGTAAAATTAAACTAAATTTATACATCGAAATAGGATGAAATATACTAAATATCAAATATTAATCGAAATGTTATACTTAAATGAAATAAATGTATTTATGCAAAAATGTAAGAAAAAGTAAAGTGATAATGAAATGATTAAAATGATAAGAAAATAATGGATCGTAATCTAATGATGAATAGAAGTGATTAAAATGATAAGCAAATAGAATAACAAAATAATAATTTTCTTGCAAAATTATGTTAGAAAAATGCTAATATGATACAAATAACAGTGATAAGAGAAAAATTTATCATATCAGTAGAATATGACAGGTCAATTATATCAGATAGATATATGAATTTTCATTTTATTTATCATTTATTTTTTATTTTATATCACATTTATTTTTATTTATCATTTAATTTTTTTTTTATCATTTATCATTTATTATCACAAATTAAATAAGTTGTTGAATTCAAAAAATGAACCTTCTTAAAGCAATTAATGCCATTACTATATAGTATTAATTATATTTAATATTTAACTCTTCATTTCTTATCACCAAATCACACAAATATACATTTATCATTATTGATAAATGCATAGATAAGTAAAAAAAAATTTAGAAAAAAAAAAAGATATTAATAAAAATTTAAAGAGTTAAATAAATTTAACAACTAATCATATATCATAATTTTTACACATCATCATTAACAATTATCACAAATTAAGATCAGTGCAATATAAAATTGAAATAATTAAAAACTCAAATAATTAACTCAAATTATTAACCAAATAATAATTATTCATTTTATTTTCAAAAAAAAAAAAAAGAGAAAAAGAAAAATGAATTTAAAATTTATTGATAAAAACATACTTTCGTTTTTCTGCATATGAATCCAAACAACCATCAATTGTACATCGATATGGATTATTAGCTCGTTTATGTTCAATTGTATGACGTGTTAACATACAACGATTTTTAAATCTTAATTAATTAAATATAATTCAATTAATAAATTAAAATAATTTCATTTAATATTTGTAATAATCATTATCAATAACAATGATAACAGTTATTTATTTATTTACTTATTATTATCATTATTAGTACTATTATTTGTTAGTTGTATGACGTGTTAACATACAACGATTTTTAAATCTTAATTAATTAAATATAATTCAATTAATAAATTAAAATAATTTCATTTAATATTTGTAATAATCATTATCAATAACAATGATAACAGTTATTTATTTATTTACTTATTATTATCATTATTAGTACTATTATTTGTTAGTTGTATGACGTGTTAACATACAACGATTTTTAAATCTTAATTAATTAAATATAATTCAATTAATAAATTAAAATAATTTCATTTAATATTTGTAATAATCATTATCAATAACAATGATAATAGTTATTTATTTACTTATTATTATCATTATTATTTTATTAATATCACTTTTTTCACTATTTTCAAAAAAAAAAAAAACAAAAACAAAATGAGTAAAATAAATAAGTAAATTTTAAATTTATTAAAAATTTATAAAACTTTTTTTTTTTTTATTTTTCCATAAAAATTTATGTGTCCACATACTTTTGTCCACATTTTTGACAAGTTAATGCCATCATTTTTTCAAAAGTTGACATTTGACGTCGACGAGTGCTGTCTGTAAGTAATGTCGGCGCAATATTTGATGAATAAACTTTTGTTTTTGTTTCATCCAATGATGTTTGCTTAAAATTAAAATAATTTATTTTTCACATTTGATAAAAAAAAAAAATCAGTTATGATATGATATCAGATAAATTCGAAAAATTTACATTTACTGAAAAATTTGAAATTTCATCCATGAAATTTTCCCATAAATTGAGCATTTTCTTGTGAATTAGTAATATCATTAATTTCTTCTTTTTCATTTTCATAATTTAAAATAGTGTGACAATATTTTGGATGACAATTATTCATCCATCTTTTGCTTCTTACAGAATTTAAATTTAAATTAATGTCAGTTGAAATCAAACTATCATCCTGAATGATTTAATTATTTACAGATATTTTAAATCAAAAAAAAAAAAAAAAAAAAATAATAAACAAAAATAGAATAGAGCAAAATCTTAGTTAATACAAGTAAAATTTACAAAAAAATAAAAACAAATTTTTTTTTTTTTTGTTGTTGTAAATTTTAATTTAGCAATTATTAATGAAATAAATTTTAAATTAAAATTAAACTAGCAAAATAATTGAGACCTCAATTGAAATTGTTTCACATGTAACAGTACTTGTTGCATTATCATTTGATACTTCCAACATCTAAAATTTAAAATTTATGAAAATCAAAAAATGCCAAAATTAATAAAAAATAATTTTCACCTATAATTGTTCCTTTATTATTATTATTATTTTTTTTTTTATTATTATTAACTTTTTTTTCAAACCTCATTTTCCAAATTTTGAAAAGTTTTAGGAGAGCATAATGATGTGTCAGAATTTGATGATGCATCATCATTCGAATTGCAACAAAAGTCAACATTTTGCTGTGGAAAAGCTGCAAAACTATTAATTTATCAAAAAAAAAAATTTTTTTTAAAAAAAAAAAAAAAAAAAAAAAACTTTTAAAACTAAAAAAGCAAAAAAATGAAGGATAAAAAAAAAATAAATAAATTAATATTAAACAATTTATAATTTAATTTATTCATTAAAAAAGAAATTATTTCTAGTATAATTAAAAAAAAAGTTATTCATTAAAATAAAATACTAAATAAAATTTAATAAAATTTTTTTAATTCAATTATTATAATTTTAATTAGAAAAAAAAAAAAAAAAAAACATACCATAAGTAACAGTTATTACTTTTTCTTTTCAACTGATGTAATACATGATTGAAAATGATCATTGATCATTTCGGATATATCTTCATTTGAATGTGAACTTTTTAAATGAATTATAAAACTAAAAAAAAAATAAAATAAAAAATTAAATAAATTTAAAAATTTTAAAGAAAAAAAAAAGGTTATTTAATTTTATATAAATTAAAAAATATATATATTAACCTTTCTAATGTAAATATATATGCATCACAAAATGAACATTTAAATGATAAAACAGATGATGATGATGAATGATGATGATGATGACCTTATATCCTGTAAATATTATCATAATATAATAATTAATTAATTTTTTTTTTTGAAAAGAAATTTCTTAAAACATTTTAAAAATTAAATTTGAATTCAATGATTGTTCATTTTGTTAAATTCAACTATTTTATATCAAATGATTTGAAGTTAAATTTTTTCCTTATTAAAATTTTCATTTGAATATTTTTAAATTAATTTAAAAAAATGTTTTTTTTTTCTTTTTCCTACTTTACAAATATTTTTCTTTTATGATAATTAATAAATGTAATAAAAATGATACATTTAGTAAAATCGGTTTAAAAATTTCCGGATTTTTCATTCCTGTAATGCATGAAGACGAAATCGGTTCTTCTCCGTGTCGCACTAATTTATTATTGCCATACTGAAATGATATTTATATAATAAAAAATATTTAAATATTTTTTTTTTTTTATTCCTTTCTTCCTGATTTATAAAATTTTTCTAAAATTATATAAAATTTTAACTCTAAATTATTAATTGAAAATATTTTGAACTTAAATAATATTCAATTTAAAATGTTATTATCACTGATTTGAATAGTTTACAATAATTTAATCTAAAAATATACCTTTCGTAGTTTCATTATCCATTTAATATCATTCCGAGGGCTAAATAAAAAAAAAAAAGAAATTAAAGTATTTTGCAAGAAAATATTAAAGTTAAATTCTAAATATTAAAGTTACCATTAAGTAATAAACAAAAAAAAAAAGTAAATGTATATTATTTATAAATAATAAAGTATTTTGCAAGAAAATATTAAAGTTAAATTTAAAATATTAAAGTTACCATTAAGTAATAAACAAAAAAAAAAGTAAATGTATATTATTTATAAATAATAAAGTATTTTGCAAGAAAATATTAAAGTTAAATTTTAAATATTAAAGTTACCATTAAGTAATAAACAAAAAAAAAGTAAATGTATATTAATTATAAATAATAACTAATTTAAATTATATAAAGTTAAAATATAAAATTTCAAAATGTTTGGCAAAAATTTGAAATATTTTGCATTTTATCAAAAATGTGAAATATTTTATAAAAATGTTAATTTAAAAAATGTTTCACAAAAATTTAAAATATTTTTACTTTGTCTTAAATGCTAGTTGATTCATTGATCATTGAATGTATCAATCATTTATATTTTATATATAAATCTGAAGAAAAGAAAATTTTTCAATGTTAAATACAAAGGAAAAAAAAAACAAAGACGGATGAAAGAGAGAGAGAGAGAGAGAGAGAGAGGGAAAGAGAAAAAGAGAGAGAGAGAGAGAAAAAAAATGAATCGCTTGAAAGAAGAATGAATGAAATTAATTTTGACAAGCTAAAATGGTCTAAAATGGAAATAATTAAATAATTAGTAACATTAGAAACTAAAAATTTCCTCTAACTAAAAAATGGAAATAATTAAATAATTAATAACATAAAAAAAAAAAAAAATGTAATTTCAGGTGATAAAATCTTTTCATATTTGTTAATTTTAAAAAATAACTAAAAATTTTGCTAAAAATTTTAGCTAATTAATTAAATTAATTTTTTATTATTAAAATTTAATTCATTTTATGCTACTAAATATTTTATCAGCTGAAATAAAATTTCAAAAATGATTACACAACAAACAAACAACTAGTAAAAGATGAATAATTTCAATGTAATTAATACAACTAAAAAATTAATGAACAAAAATTGATTAAAATTTTTTGTGATAATTTTGATATTATCATAATTGGAAAGATGTGAAATTGATTGATACAGTGATACTGATAACATGGTACTGATACTGATAACATGAACAATTATTTACAAAGAATTATAATTTTACAATGAAAATAATAAAATCACAAATTAACTAAATTTTTTTTTTTAAAAAAAAAATATATATATATAAATTTGTATCAATCTTAGTTAAAACTAATATTGGGAGTAGTTAAAATTTTATTTCGTATCTGATTACGAGTGATAAGTGGTGATAAAAAGAATGATAATGATTAGAATGGAAATTTTGCTTTTTTTTTTTTTTTGCTGAAATATTAAACTAATTTTAATGGTTGTAAACAAAAAGGAATGCTATAATAACGATATAAGTTGACAGCTCTGATAGATAAATTCTATCGGATAGAATTGGAGAAATTTAAAGTAAACTTGTTAAACTGATTATTGATAAGAAATCAATTATCAGTGTGATGATAAGTATTTCTTTCTTATTAAATGCTTGAATAACATTATTTAGAAATTTGCTTTTTTTATCAAATGATTGAAATGAAATCGATCAATCGATGGATCAATCAAATTGATTGATTTTTTGCATTGAAATTATTTATAATTTAAAACAAAAAAAAAAAAAAAAAATTCAATTTCAATTCAAAATTTATACATTTCTTTATGAAATGTACTTCGTTTTGGATTTCCGGAAAAAAAAATGTCAAAAAGTTTGTGTAAAATAGTAGCAAACGGATTGAATGATCTTTCGTTACCTTTTCGGCAAATTAAAATTTGAAAATTTTAAATGTTAGTAAACGACAATTAATTTTGATCATTTTTTTTTTTAGGATTACAATAGCAAAATTAGCATAATTAGCAACAAAATGATTATAAATTTACTTTTTTGGTCTTTCATTTAGGGTAGAATTCTGATTTCGTACATATATATAATACTATTATATTTGTTTAGATTAAAGATTAATTAATTGTCTCGCAAATGAATTAAAATTAATTAATGTTTTGGTTAATGAAATTGATCAAATTATTCTAAAAGATAAAAATTGCTGATACAATTAAATATGGAATTATTAGTGAATTATTGTTAAAAGTTAAAAATTAAAAGTTAATTATTCATAACTTAGCAATACTTTTACAGATCTTTCTGAGACAACAATAATTATCATAAGTAAAAACCTACATAGTGATCTTATATAATTATAATGATTTTGTGATCATATTTTCATGTAATTACAACGATTTTATAACCATATTTATATAAATTACAACGATTTTATAACAATATGATATAAATTACAACGATTTTATAACCATATTATATAAATTATAACGATTTTATAACAATATGATATAAATTACAACGATTTTATAACCATATTATATAAATTACAACGATTTTATAACAATATGATATAAATTACAACGATTTTATAACCATTTTATATAAATTCCAACGATTTAATAACCATACTATATAAATTATAACGATTTAATAACTATATTAAATAAATTATAACGATTTAATAATCGTAATATATAAATTATAACGAATTTAATAACCGTATTATATAAATTTCAACGATTTTATAACCATAATATATAAATTATAACGATTTAATAACTATATTATTTAAATTATAACGATTTTATAACCATAATATGTAAATTGCAATGATTTTCTGACCATCTTCTGTTAATTTATATTTATCTAAAAATAATTAGTTATGTTTTCTGAAATAATTAGTAAAAATAATTACTAATATATTATCTAAAAAAAAAAGAAAAAGAAAAATTAATTATGTATTAAGCAAAATTTCCTATTATTTTCAGCAAATCCAAAAATAAGATTAGCTAATTTAGCAGAATGATTAATTTTATTTGTACCTTTTTTCTCTTTTCCCTAAAAGCTTTATTTATTAGACTGTGCAAATTTAATATATTTAATACTTTCCATCCATTTCTGCTAAAAAGACTAACATTTCTCAACTTTCAGTATTTAAATTTCATTTCAATTCCTACAATTTTAGCATATATCAATAACTATTATCAATGATCTATTATCAATCTGTTATCAGTAACATGCATAACATTATGATATTAATATAAACGGAAAAGATAAAAATGTTATTTTCAATAAAATCAATAAAAATAGATATTATCAACAATGTAAAACAAAACAAAAAAATAACTCATATGATAATATGATAAAATAAATATCATTCATTTTTTATCATTATAACTGATAAAATCTTAATTAATTACAAAGTGTTAATGATAACAATTATCATAGAATTTTTTTTTTTTTTTTTTGTAAACTTTGCGATATTTTTTAAACAAAGAAAAAAAGAGAAAAAAATATAAAAAAAAACTGAAATTGAAAGAAAAAAGAATTGTGACAGACTTTCATTGCAAAATAATTTTTACGTTTTAATCTTCTTCGCTCTTTCTGCTTCCTTTCCATTTCGCCCCATTTCATTTATTCTCCTAATGCATCCAGCAGCGCACAAATTTACATATTCAATGCATTTACATTACAACACACACAGACACATACATACATACATTACATTACAACATACACACAGACACATACATACATACATACACATGGATACACATACATACATACACATACATACATACACATGAATACACACATACACATGCATACATACATACACATGCATACATACATACACATGAATACACACATACACATGCATACACACAGACACATACATACATAAATACACATGGACACACATACAATGCATACATACATACATACACACAGACACATACATACATACATACACATACATACATACACATGAATACACACATACACATGCATACATACATACACATACATACACATGCATACATACATACACATGAATACACACATACACATGCATACACACAGACACATACATACATAAATACACATGGATACACATACATGCATACATACACACATACACATGCATACATACATACACATGAATACACACATACACATGCATACATACATACACATACATACATACACATGCATACATACACATGGATACACACATACACAATGCACATGAATACACCGATACACATGCATACATATACACATACACATGCATACATACATACACATGAATACACACATACACATGCATACATACAAATACACAGATACACGTACATGCATACATACATACACATACATACATATACACATACACACATACATGCAAAAATACATACATGCACACATACAAACACACACACACACCTACACGCATACATATACATACATACACACATACACATACATGCACACATACATACATGGATAAAATGGGCAGACACATTTAGACAATGTATGATTAGTACATTTTAGTAAGTATTATCCGTTCATCCATTCATTCTTCCATTCTTTCATTCTTTCACTCATTCATTCATTCTTCCATTCTTCCATTCTTTCATTCATTCATTCATTCATTCATTCATTCATTCATTCATTCATTCATTCATTCATTCTTTCATTCTTTCATTCATTGCTCTAAACATTCTTAGCGACAAAATATGTAAAATGAATATAATTTGCATTGCGATAGAGAATGAAAGAGAAAGAATCGATCAAGAAATTTGCATAAATCTAAAAGTGCTTTTCCGGAAAGCTTTCAATACTATTTGATAATAAACAAATATATCTTTCAATTTTTTCCTTTGAATACAAAAATATTCGAAAAAAAAAGAATAAAATTAATACAATCACTGTTAAATAACGCAATTCTTGTTTTTCATACCGGAACTATACTATCTTCTATTCTACTTCCATACCGGAACTATAATATCTTCTATTCTACTTCCATACCGGAACTATAATATCTTCTATTCTACTTCCATACCGGAACTATAATATCTTCTATTCTACTTCCATACCGGAACTATAATATCTTCTATTCTACTTCCATACCGGAACTATAATATCTTCTATTCTACTTCCATACCGGACTATACTAACTTCTACTCTATTTCCATACCGGAACTATATTATCTTCTATCTATTTTTTGAAAACTATATACTATCCATTCAGTTCTATTCTATACTATATCAAAACTGTATCATATCAATCGTTTTTTTCTTCCGTATCGGAATTATATGCATCCATCATTTTATTCTACACCGGAACAATACTTCCTGTTATGTGTGCTTTAAAAAAATAATTTAAAAGAAAAAAAAAAACAGACAAAAATTAAAATCGAAATTAAATAAAATAAACATTTTTCCTTGACACATATCAAATCATTCGTATGAAAAAAGGAAAAATAAAAAGAAAAAATGAATGTTTTAAGCATTTTTATTTTAAAAGTTTTTCATTCTTTTTTTTTTTTTTTTTGTTTGGTTGATTTCTTTCTAAATTTGTTTGCTCTCATTTAAATGTGAATTTGTTGAATGGAAGAAAATACGGATGAAAAGAAGAATTTTTAATTAAAAAAAAAAATTGATGCAACATTTTGACAAAACAATAATTTATCAATTTATAATAACAGATGAAAGTGAGAAAAAAACAAACAACAAAATAATTTAAAGCTTATATTAATAATAAATAAACAAATATTGTAAACAATTCAGCTAAATAAACAATAAACATTTAATTGAATTTTTGATTAAAAAAAATTGATGCAACATTTTGAAAAAAAAAAACAATTTATCAATTGATAATAACAGAAGAAAGAGGAAGAAAAAAACAAACAACAAAATAATTTAAAGCTTATATTAATGTGTCGTATAAATAAACAAACATGTAAACAATTAAACTAAATAAACAATTAAGCATTTAATCAAAAAAGAAAATTATTATTTATCAAATGTGAAAGAAAAAAATTAAACCAAAATGCTAAAAATTTTTTGTTGTCATTAATTTTAATTAATAATATTTACCAATATAATTATAAAATTATTTTTATTAAATTTACAGTCTTTTTTTTTGATCTTTCTAATTAATTAATTAATTACAGAAATGACTGTACCGAGTGTTACTGATCTGATCTCATTTCAATTTATATTGCTATCAAAATATCCAATCATACATATAAAACTAATTTAAATGTTTGTACCATTAATTTTAATAATTATTAGTTACTATTGATTAAAATAATATTTAATCTAGTAATTCATTAAAATTAATTTTTAATTTTAATTTTTTTTTTTTGAAAATAATATTTCAGTATTTATCAATAATTGATAATACACAAGAAAAAAAAGAAAAAACCTTCCATTATTTCTTTCACTTTTATAATTTTTACTTTTTTATTTCTTTAGAAAAAAACGAAATTCAAAAATTAATTATTTTTTAATTTCAAAAAAAAAAAAAATTCAACTTATCCTCTTTGAAGTAATCTTTCAGGCCATACTGTAAATTGTGGATTATTAAACCATGGTACAAATGTACCATCAAAATTACTACCAAGAAAATTTGGCTTTAATGGAATTAATGGCGGCATTGCATCTAAATTATGCTTTGTGATCTTTTCAAAACCTAACAATGATTGAAGACTTTTCGGCGTTGATGAAATTCGAGTGGTAGTAGTAGTAGTTGTTATTGTTGTTGTAGTAGTAGTAATAGTAGTTGTAGTAGTAATAATAGTAGTTGTAGTAGTAATAGTAGTAGTTGTAGTAGTAAAAATAGTAGTTGTAGTAGTAGTAATTGGAATAGTATTACTAATTGTTGTTTTTGAAAAGAGAAATGAAATTGGAGTTGTAGTAGTATGTTTTGATGCTTTAGGTGATGCAAAACTTAATATTAAAATATTTGAATTATTATTGTTATTATTATTACTATTGTTATTATTTTATTATTATTATTATTATTATTATAATTAAATTCAAATTGTGTATTATTTTTGATAAAGTAAGGCGGTGATGGTGAAGTAACATGCGGTAATGTCCTGTTAACAAATGTCATTGTATCAGATATTGGTTTATGCAATTGATCAGTTGTTATCAACAATGATTTTGATTGATTAAAATTATTAAATTGATTAAATTGTTTGTGAAAATTAATTTTTGAATGAGCTGAAAAACGTTTAATTGAAAATGGTTGATATGCTTGAGTTACAGCAATAATTGATAATAAATGATTATTATCATTATTATTATTTGTTAAATTTGCTGTTACAAATAATAATGAAAAATTTTCATTTCTTTTTATCTGAAATTGTGTTAAATTTGTTTTTTATTATTATTATTATTAATTAAAGTTTCATTTTTAATTTTATATTTCTCATAAATTGTTGCTAAATTTTGTGAATTATTTTTATTTTTAATACAATTATTGATAAATTTATTTGTATTAAATAAATTTTCATTTGTATTATTTGCATGTTTTATTGAATTATTTTGTTTAAATGCTAAAATATGTTTATTCTCATTAAAAATTAATTCCTCATTTAATTTCACCGGAAATTTAATTGAAATTTTTGTTAAATTTTCATTATGCAAATTTTGCTCCATACTTAATTTATCATCTTTTAATGCTGATGCAGTAACATTAGCTTGTAAATGTTTCATTAGCATTGGATTAATAATACTTAGTAATTGTGGTAAAGCACTTATCATATCAGTGATATTTTTCATTGATAAAAATTTATGAGCAATTTGTTGCGATTGAAAATTGCCATATTTTAAATTATTTGCTAATTTAATTGGAACAAATTGTGAATTAATATATTTGTATTATACTGTGAAATACTTAAATTTATTTGTTGCATAAAATTTTCAACTTTACGAATATCATTTCTTAAACTATCAATATCTTTTCTAACTTTTAAAATTTGATTAAAATTTCCGTATTACTACGAAAAAATCGTTCTCGTACCTGTTCTGATGATAATTGCTCATCAAATTCATTTTTCTTATCACTGATAAAAACATTTGAAAATTTCCTATTTGTTTGCATTCTCTTTTGTGGCATTTGTGTTGATTTAATATTTCCCAGTTTACTAGAATCATTATCAGTAAGATCAATGATAATACGTCCAGTAGATCCATCGTACTGATATTGTTGATCTGATGATAAGATCAAATTAGATGTTTGATTAATTACTGTTGCATGATTATCATCAGTACTGTTAGCATTCATTCTAATACGAATTGCTTCATCTAAAATTATTTAATTTATTTTATTGAATTAAATATTTCGAAAAAAAAAATTTTAGATAATTTGAAAAAAAAAAATTTTTTTAAATTTTCCATTCAAATTATTTAATAAATTATTGCAAAAAATTTGAGCAATGTGAACTTTCAACATAAATTTCTGTATTATCAAACTGTGTTTTTGTTTTTGTTTTTTGTTTACTTTTTTTTTTTTTTGAAATATGAAATGAAAATTGATAAATTCAAAATTTTCAAAAAAAAAAAATTGATAATTTTATCTTATCTATTTCTGTTTATCATTTTCAGTTTATTTATTTATTACTATCATTCTACTACTGTTAACATTTTATTTAAATAAATTATTCTTTCAATGCTAAATTTTTATATCTATCATTAAATAATTTCACTGATTTATTCAAAGAATTTTTTTTTTTTAATTTAAAAAAATTTTAATTTAATTTAATTATTTGTGGAAAATATTAGCAAAAATATATTAAACAATCGAAAAAAAAATTATTAATATATTTTAATTCTAAAATTTATTAATAAATTTTTGTATGTCAAATTTATCGATTATTTTGCTGATCGATTAAGAATAAGAATTTTTTTCTTTTTTTCGATGATCAATTTAATCAACCATTAATATTTGTGTCATCAAAATATCAATTCATTGTCACTTTTCTGATTACAATAAAATATTTCAAATTTTTGAAAGGCAAAAAAAAAACAAAAAATCAAAAATGGAAATTTAAAAAAAAAAAAAAATAATAATAAACAAACCATGCGGGATAATAATGCTTGTTCCATTGATATCATCTCGAATCGTATATTGACCTGTTTTTTTGTTGTAAAATAATTCTCGATGAATAGGTCGAAGGTCACGAAATGATTTGAAACGATTTTTATAAAAAATCCTAATTGGAATTGGAAATAATTTTGCTTCACTCATCTCATCTATATTTTGTTTTTGTTGTTGATATTGTTGTTGTAGATGTTGTTGTTGCTGTTGTTGTTGTTGTTGTTGATGTTGTTGTTGTTGCTGTTGTTGTTGTTGTTGTTGTTGTTGATGTTGATGTTGTTGTTGTTGTTGTTGATGTTGATGTTTTTGTTGTTGTTGATGTTGTTGTTGTTGTTGTTGTTGTTGATGTTGATTTGTTTGCGGTAGAAGAATAACTTGATCATAAATTGGCTCAGTAAACAAATGCGCATCTATCTTCCAAGTATAATCCGAAAATGTTGCCGTATGAGGGAAAAAATATTGTCCAATTGTTAGTTGACGTTTACTAGCTGTAATTTGAATTTGTTAAAATTAATTTTTTAAATTTTGTTATATTTGCAAAAAAAATTTGAGAAAAAAAGAATAAAAAATTTGGTAATTAAAATTGCAATTGCACTTAATAATGCTTTTACTCAAAATGATATTTTTATCAATTTTTATAATTTTTAAATTATTCAAAAAAAAAAAAAATTAAACAAATTCATTTGAAATGTATAAAATATAATTTCAATTATTAAAAAAGATTTAAAAAAAGAAAAAAAAAAAACAAAAAAAAATTATTTTATTTAAACGAACCTTCCAGAACATTGCTGGCAACAATAATAATTAATATAACAAATATGGAAAATTTAATTTGTTCATAAATTTGTGAATTTGAAAACATTGAAAATTTCTGAAAGAAAAAAAAAAAAAAACTGATCTGATTTAATTAAAAGTTTGGTTTTTTTTTTTTTTTGATGATAAGAGATTGAGTTATGATTGATATCATTCTCGAAATTTAAAATAATTTCTAACAGTTATGCTCAAGATTTATTCAATTGATTTATCATAAGCATATGTGAAAGGGATTTTAATAAAAATTATCATTTAAATAAAAAAAATCATTGTATTGATCAAACTACATTTAATAAAAATTATCATATCAAAATCGCTTATCATATCAAATTTTATCTTACAAATTTAATAGCATTTAATTAAAATTATCATATCAAAATCGCTTATCATATCAAATTTTATCTTACAAATTTAATAGCATTTAATTAAAATTATCATATCAAAATCGCTTATCATATCAAATTTTATCTTACAAATTTAATAGCATTTAATTAAAATTATCATATCAAAATCGCTTATCATATCAAATTTTATCTTACAAATTTAATAACATTTAATAAAAATTATCATATCAAAATCGCTTATCATATCAAATTTTATCTCACAAATTTAATAACATTTAATAAAAATTATCATATCAAAATCGCTTATCATATCAAATTTTATCTCACAAATTTAATAACATTTAATAAAAATTATCATATCAAAATCGCTTATCATATCAAATTTTATCTTACAAATTAATAACATTTAATAAAAATTATCATATCAAAATCGCTTATCATATCAAATTTATCTCACAAATTTAATAACATTTAATAAAAATTATCATATCAAAATCGCTTATCATATCAAATTTTATCTTACAAATTTAATAGCATTTAATTAAAATTATCATATCAAAATCGCTTATCATATCAAATTTTATCTTACAAATTTAATAGCATTTAATTAAAATTATCATATCAAAATCGCTTATCATATCAAATTTTATCTCACAAATTTAATAACATTTAATAAAAATTATCATATCAAAATCGCTTATCATATCAAATTTTATCTCACAAATTTAATAACATTTAATAAAAATTATCATATCAAAATCGCTTATCATATCAAATTTTATCTTACAAATTTAATAGCATTTAATTAAAATTATCATATCAAAATCGCTTATCATATCAAATTTTATCTTACAAATTTAATAACATTTAATAGAAATTATCATTTTAAAATCCTAATATTCAATTAGTGATAATAACAAACTTATATTTTCAACAAAAAGAAATTAATTTAATTTTGCACTTAAAAATTTTTAATTATTCCTTGTTGGATTAGTTATAATGATAAGATGATAAATATGGAATATCAATTGCAAAATAAATATTCTTCTAAGTTAAAATTAACAATTAATATAATATTATCACAAAAATTTGCTTTGTTAAAATTTTTAAATTTAAAAAATTAATAATAAATATTATAAAATTAAAAAAAAAAAGAACTCTAAAATTCACGAAATAATTTGAATAGAAAAGTGTTAAAATTTACAAAATTATAATTTGAAATGATATTAATAGATTGGAAGATTTTCGAAGAAAATTAATAATTTACATTTTAGTAACAAAATCATTTTAATTAATTAATTAAAAAATATAATTCTTTTTTTTTTGATTATTTTAAAATATTTATAAAAAATTTTTAGCTATAAACATTTTTTTGTTTCCTTAAATTTATATTAAAACTAATTATTTTAATTGATGAATTTCAAATTCATTCAGGAATAATTCATATTCTAGGAATGAAATGAAATAATGAATTAATTGTAATCATTAATCTAATACTTAATTTTGAAATAATAATAATAATAAATATTACTTTAAATGATAATTAATATTTATTTAAGTTAAAAAAAAATTTTTTTTTTTAAAAAATTTGTTTGGAAACCTGTTTTTAATGCAATTTATAATATGCATACGAGATAATAATAATTATTTAAACGAACTAATAACTATTTTGTAAAAAAAAAAATTTAAAATTAACAGGTTATAATTACTTTTAAATGTCATCAAAATTCTCTTAAATAATTAATTATTCCATAATATTTCCCGAGATTTACCGTATTTTTTTTTTTTTTATGTGATGCATCAATTTTACAGTACATTTCATTTTATTTTTATTTTATTTATTATTAATTTTATTTTATTATTGTTAAATTTTATTTCAACTACTTAATTGTGATAATTATATTTGAAGGAAAAAAAATCATTGTATCTCTTAAAGCTATAATAATTGTAATATAATTATAAAATTATAATTTAAAACTATTAAACTTAAAACTACAATAATTGTAAATAATAATAATAATAATAATAATAATAATAATAATAATAATAATAATAATAAAGCAAATTAATAAATAAGTTTGTTTATTTAAATAGTTTGAATATTTTATTGCAATTTATTGCTAAGAAATAAATTTGTGAGATAAAATTTGATTAATACAACGATTTTGATATCCTTCTCTATTTTATCACAAAATTTTTTTCATCTTATCAACTTATCACTAAATAATCATAATTGTTATCAAATAAGATCATGACCTGATAATCAATAATCAAGCCATTTTTCATCATATTACCTTTTTTTTTCTTCTCTAATTTATCACAAAATTTTTTCATCTTATCAACTTATCACAAGTGATCATAAACACGAGTAAAATTAGATGAATAATATTTCATCTTATCAACTTATCACTAAATAATCATAATTGTTATCAAACAAAATCATGACCTGATAATCGATTATCAAGCTATTTTTCATCATATTATCTTTTTTTTTTCTCTAATTTATCACAAAAATTTTTTCATCTTATCAACTTATCACAAGTAATCATAAACACGAGTAAAATTAGATGAATAATATTTCATCTTATCAACTTATCACTAACTAATCATAATTGTTATCAAACAAGATCAGTATCTGATAAGAGATAATGAAAAAAAAATAATTACATTATATGCTATGAGGTAATTAATTTAAATTATTAATTAAAGATTTGATTTAAGAATAAAATTAAATGAATAATATTGATAAACTAAAAGTTAAAAAAAAAAAAAAAAAAACGAGCAAAGTAATTAAATAATTAATAATTAAAAATTTTAATATGAAAAATAAAATAATAGTAAAAATTGAAAAGGTTTCATTAACGATTAAAAAATGATTGAAATTAAAATGATCAAAAAATTTTTTAATATCTATCAAAAATTTTATGGTTCACTTATGATTTTTGTTATGGGAATAAAATGTTAAATTCATTTCGTTCCTTTCATATTTTAATTCAATCATTTTATTTTGAATTATTATATTGAAAAAAAAAAAGAAAAAAAGAAAGGCCTATATTTATATATAAATATTTAAAAAAAAAAAAAAAAAACTGAAATTAAAAATCTTTTTTCTTTTCTTCTCTCTCTCTCCTCCCTCTCTCTCTCTCACTCTCTCTGTCTTTTCTCGTATTTTCCCTTTCTTCTCGCTTTTTTTTTTTTTTTTTTTTTTTTATAAAAATAAAAAGAAATAATTTTTGTTAAAAAGAGAAAATTTAATTTCGCTGAATTTAAACGATTATTGGATGAAAAAAATCGATTAAAAATGAATAAATTTCTTTCATTTTCTATTAAAACGAAAATAAAAAATATAATAAATTTTAATCGATTAAAAAATAAATAAATTTCTTTAATTTTTATTAAAATGAAAAAAAAAAAAAATAAAATAAATTTTAGCAAAAAAAATTTTAATTATAAAATATAAATTCCTAAACGTTAATTATAATAAAAAAAAAATTAAATTATTTATAATTACAATTTTTTTTATTAAACGAAAGAAGTGAAAAAAGAAAGAGAGAGAGAGAGAGAGAAAGAGAAAAAATGAAATTTTTAATGATAAAATTAAAATTAAATGAAATAATTGTGGAACAAAAAAAAAAAATTTTATAATTAATTACTTATATTTATAAAATATAATTTATATTTTTTAATGTAAAATTTTCTCAAAAAAAAAAAGAAAAGGAATAAAAATAATTTTCATTTGCAAATTTATTTCGTTTACAAATAAATATTTTTACAATTTTGATTTTTTCTTTCTTTTTTTTTTTTTAAATTTTTTTTCTCACTGTCACAATTCTCGATTTGCTCACTGTCACAATTCTCGATTTGCTCACTGTCACAATTCTCGATGTCACAATTCTCGATGTCACAATACTTTTTTTTTTTTTGTTGTTGTTGTCAAAACTATTAGCAATTGTTTGATGACACTGTGACATCATTTCATATAAATGAAATGAACTTCTATAATATTTCAAATACAAGGACAATTTTTTTTTTTTTTTAAAATAATTTTTATGCTTTGTTAAATTTTTTTTTTATTTTATTTAAACAGTTATATCTTTTCTTTTCTTTTCTTTTTTTTTCCCACTTCTTTTCATTTTACTATCAATTAATTTTGTGACAAATTTTTATTTTGAAAAAAAAAAAAATTTTTTTTTATTTTTCAATGAAATATTTTTGATTATTTCTTAAATGAACCATAAAATTTTATCATAAATAAAAATGCTTGAAAGAATTTTTTTTTTTTATTTTGCTTAAAAGAATTATTTTAATGATAAATTTATTTTAAGAAATTTTAATTTCATTTTTTCTTTTCTTTTTTTTTTTTTTGAAATAATATCTATTGTTAGGATTAGTTTGTAAAAATTGGTGATAAATTTAGCAAAAAACGATTTAATTTTTACTTTTGAATAATTTTTTTTTTTTTTGAAATATTATATATTTGAAGTATTTGAAGCTAATTATTTTAGAAAAACAATTTAAATTTTATTTTAAATAATTTTTTTTTTTTTTTTTTGAAATATTATATGTTATCTTTTATTTTTTAATACTAATTATTTTAGCAAAAACGATTTTAATTTAATGCTAATTAATTTAGAAAAACGATTTAATTTTTACTTTTGAATAATTTATTTTTTTTTTTGAATAATTTATTAGTTTATTTATTAAT